TTAATGAGATCTTGTCTCAAAATAAAAGTGAAAAGGGCTGGGGATGTAATTCAGTGGTACAGCACAAGCCCACCAAGTGCCAGGTCCTGGGTTTCATCCTCAGGGCTACCAAAAATCTTTTTTTTCTTTTTTCTTGTGTGTAGGGTCTCACTACACAGCTCACACTCATAAGTGATCCCCCTGATTTCTGCCTCCCTACTGCTGGGGTTACAGGTGTGGACTACCATGCCCAGACTCCATCGCCGGCTCAGCGTGCCCAGGGGCAGGGCTGGCATGACATGCAGTGCCAGGAACTGAACCCTGGCTCCTGCGCTTACCTAAGCAAGAGCTTAGTCTGCTGAGCTATACTGCCTGTTCTCAAAAAGTTTTGATGCATGTCACTAAATATGCCCTCCTGACTCTTGAGTGTCACCAGCTATTCATGCACCTGGGTAGCAGTGGCTATGGGAGGACTGGATAGTGGGAAGATTGGTCTCACCTGCTTTATCCTGCTGTTCAGGGCTCCTGGCCACCTTGGTGGTTCAGCCTCTGACTTGGAGTCCCTGGGCCTCTCCCAGCCAGGAGTGGGGAATAAGCTGCAGTTACTGCACCAAGGGCCACCTTCCCTCCAGGGAGCTCCAGGCCAGGATCTCTGGAACCAGGCAGAATGGTTATCTAGATGTCCCCAAGTCCTGCCCAGGATGCAGCTGGGACCCTGCCCCCAAAAGAAGCCGCAGTGTCAGAGCAAGACCTGCTGTGGTATGCTGGGCAAGATACTCATGCTCTCCGCGCTGGTGTCTTCAACTAAGAGGACAGCAGTTATAATTAGTCTACAGGGTTGTGTGAGACTTTGAACAAGCACCTATTTATAAAGGGTACAGCAACTGGACCATGGTAAAAATCTGATGTCAGGATTGATTACTGTAACGTTCTTTGCACACTATCTATGATCTGCATATGTGGACTGAATACACAGCAATGCGCACACACTGCCATCTACACTCATCATCCATGCACATCAAAGCACAGGGTACACACACAGGTACATGTGCCTGGTCCACACCCCACAGTGCTCATCAGGCCCTTCCTTTCCAGAAGGGGTGGCTGGCCCCCAGTTCCCTCTGTGCACAGCCTCGGGAAGCAGCAAAGGCTGGGAGCAGGTGGCAAAGCCAGCTTGCTCCTCCTCCCTGGAGCCCGCTCCAGCAGCTGTCTCCAGCTCCCAAGGTGATGCCTCTCAAGTCATCCTTCCAGCCCCACCAAGACAGTGATGGGCACTTCCGCTGCTGCTCACCTCCAGTTCTCACATGGTCCATTTGCGCTTCCAGCTCCTTCACCTCCTCTTGCTTGCTCCTGAGCACTGATCCTGTTTTTGATAATCAGGGTGCCCTTTTCCCGGGGAGCCCAGGGATATGGTCAACGTCTACTCCCCTGTGACTGAGTGGGCAGTGCTAGCACTCCCCATTTTGTCGTTCCCTTTTTGCTTCTCTCTCTCTCTCTCTCTCTCTCTCTCTCTCTCTCTCTCTCTCTCTCTCTCTCTCGCAGCACTGAGGATGGAACCGAGGGCCTGTGCACGCTAGCCAGTTGCTCTATCACTGAGCTGCACCCAGCTTCTTTCACTTTTATTTTGAGACAGTCTCACTATGTTGCCCAGGATAGCCTCAAACTTTTGATCCACCTGCCTCAGCCTCTGGAATAGCTGCGATTACAGGGCTGCACCCCATGCCCAGTGAGCATTCCCTTTTAATAGTCCCTTGGCTGGGGTTTGAGCCTGGAGTGTCTGCCTCCAGGTGCACAACTGCCTGACACACTCCTTCCCTGGGCCATGCTGAGGGCACTCCTGCTACACATGGCCACATGGAGGTCCTGAAGGTACATGTACACAATAAAAACAATAAACACAAATGCACACACACATACCACAGGCACACTCATACTGCAGCAGAGATGCAGATGCCTCTGAGGATGCATGTATCGTGCGCACGTGTACACACACACACACACTCTCTCTCTCTCTCTCTCTCTCTCTCTCTCTCTCTCTCTCTCCTCTCTCTCCTCTTTCTCCCTCCCTCCTTCCCTCTCTCTCTGTCTCCATCTGTCTGTCTGTCTGTTTCTCTCTCGGCGAGGAGCAAAGATGGGGAAAGACCTGAATTTTGGCTCCAAGAAGTCAGAGATATGGCTGAGATGTGGGAAGAAAGGGCCCTGGGCATCAGCTCTTCAGAGCATGCTGACTGCCTGTGCACACTCAAGTCCGTACACACAGATGTGAAAACATACACTTGCGCACACACACAGGAGCTTGCACGTGTGTTCATGAACATATACAGATGTGCACACAAGTGCAGGCATGTGCACACAAACAAGACATGTACAGACTCTTACTACTGGGACAGAGGACACACACACACACACACACACACACACACACAGAGTCCTGCATGCAATCACACCTGCATACTTGTACACAGAGATAGTATGTGCCAAACCACACACTAGTGCATGTGCCCAGGCTGATGTGTACCCGCAGACCCCACAGACACATCACACAGTTGGCACTCATTCCTGCGCCTCAATCCAAGTCCTCAGAAAATGCCTTGGAGAGAATCAGGTTCACATAGCTCAGTCTTTTGGTGATGCTAAGGCGTGGGGAGCAACATCCCAGCCACCACTCACCCCACCCCCTTAACTCTGGCCTGGGCTCCACTCCCTGGGTAAGGCCTGTGGAAATTCATGGAAGAGCCAGCCGGCAAGTGCCTGGGGGCCAGGTAGGAGGACACAGAGGCACGGTCACTTTGGCTGGGCCTCCTAGCACAGGTAGCACTCACCAGGTAAGGTGCTTGTGACTGCTGGTCTGTCTAGAGCTCCAGAAAGCTCCTTCTTCCCGGGCCTCTCCAGAGACCAACAGCTGGTGTTTTAGCATTAGCAGTCATGGGTGTCTTCAAAGGGGGTCAGGACCAGCTTGGGAGGTACATCCTGACACTGAGGCTTGGCTCAAGGGAGAGAGGGACAACATCACATCTGCTCCCCACAACAGCTCTACTACAGGTGCCAGAGTTCAGTTCCAAAAGAAGCTAAAAGGAGCTCTGCTAGGCTGGGTAGCTTCAGAAGCCTGTGTGTGAGTAGGTGCTGGGAGTGGGCAAAGCTCTGCAGAGGGGTTGGCTCTGGGTGATGCCAAGAAGAGGAGCTTGGGTACAGAGAGAAGGAGGTCAGGAGCCTGGGAAGGGCCTGTGTGTTAGCCAGGGAGGGGGAGCCAAGAAGACGTGCAGGGAGCCCAGTAAGAGATCTGGACGGAGGAGTGGGCTGGGGGAACAGGGGCAGAACTAAGAGTACTGTTAAAGATGATTCTGAGGGACCTCTGGCCCCTGACCAGGCCAGACCAGAGTGGGGTCACTCACCTAGGCACCAGGTCATCAGGCTGATCCTGAAAACTGCCAGTTTTCCAAGACAGGATATTTGCATTAGCCACTCAAAAGGGATGTCCTGACCAGGCTCAGCAAGCTATGGAAGTCCCTGTTTAAACTATAAGGGTGGGGCTGGGGAACTAGCTCAGTGGCATAAGTACCTTCCCAGTAAGTGCAAGGTCCTGGTTCAATCCCCAGTACAGGAAAGAAAAAAAAAATCTGAACATGAAGTATAAGGGAAGTAACTTCAAACAGCTGGTCTGCTTGCTGATCCTGGTGCTGCTCTCAGCACTTTTCTGTCTATAAGGACAACCTTCTGTGCCTGGGCCACCGAATACTCATCATTTTATAGGACGGAGTGTTGCTGATTCTAGAATCAGAAACAATAATAGCCCATTACTATCTTCAAATCAAGCATGTTGTAATTTTTTTTTTTTTTTAATTTTGAATTGTGCAGCCCTATGGGGAAAAGGGGCAGGGGTGGGCCTGGGCAGTGTGGGCCCAGACTGTGACAACAGAGACAAGAGGTCGAGGGGGAAGGGCTCTGCTGAGTCAGTCCCTCCAGAGCTGCTTCTGTCCTCTGCATGCGCTCCCTCCCAGCCGTGGGCCTGAGCTTGGAGAAAGGCCGTTGCTACTGACCCTCCAGCTCTTTATATCTGGGTCCCAGGTGAGACCCGAGAATGCTGCCGCTGCCACTGTTCTCAGGGCACCCTATGTGCTTCGAGCTCTGGAGCCACTGACTTCAGGCCAGTGGTGACAGTGCCACAGACTGCCCATTGGGAACTGGGGATGGCAGGCTGTGGGTGAGGGTGAGGGGAGTGTTTCCTGGTCCTTCTCTGCTATACTGGGTCCTGAATTGTTGAGCACCAGCTGAGCAACAGAGGAGCTATGCTGGCCCAGTTATATGCTGCATATCTGAGGGAAGCTGGGGGAGGGGAAGCTGCTGTGACCCATCAATGTCCACAGGCCTGTGAGAGGGGGCCTAGCAGAGGAGAAGCTCAGGGCCAGGTGTGAGGTCAGGCCGGTACTAACAGACATCTGGAGGTGGCTCTCTCTGTGCAGCGAGCCAGTGCAGGCTCAGGCAGCGTCAGCCCACAGAGGGCATGGTGGGCATGCAGGCTCCCACTGAGCTCCACCTGCCACTGACGCTTCTCCACTCCAAGGCTGGGACAATCCTAGGCATCCAGAGGCTCTGAGGGAGCTTCTAAAGGGCTGGCTGTGTGTAATAGGATGACTCTGATGTCACTTACAAGGTCAGTAAGCTAGGCAAGTGGTGGCCCCTGCGCATAGCCAGCCTTCCTTTCCACCTCCCCACACCCTCCCAAACTGGCATCTCAGGGGGCCTGTCAGCCATCACAGGGCAGACCAGACCTCCCCTAGGAGGCTGGCCTGTCTCCTGCCCGCCCCCAGAAAAATGAGCTTTCCTCCTCCTTCTCATACCTGTTGCGACGCGCGGCCCTGTGCTGCTGCCGGTTAATCATAGAGTTCGTGTGTCTCACCAGCCAGGCTGGGGACTCCCTGAAGGGAGCAGCCCATTGCACAGCTCTGCGGCACCAGTGTCCAGCAGTGGGCTGGACACAGAGCAGGTGCAAGGACTGTTGGCCAGCGAGAGAATGACTGCAAACAAATGATCTGCTTTATTTGTTTTCGGACAGCAGTACATTCTATTTCCTAAACGCATGGGGGCCGAGCTTAGAGGAGATGAGGTGTCCTCAGGAAAGGGCAGGGCACAGAGACGTGGCCTGGGTCTGTGTCTGTGGTCCCATGGCTGGTCCTTTGGTCACAGCTGCAAGCTGGCGCCCAGGACACAGTGTGGTGGCTGCTCCTCAGCCCTGCAAAGGGAAGGTCAGAGTTCAGTCCCAGCCCCTGCTGCCTGCAGGCCTCAGTATTGAGCCTGGCTCCCAGCATCTCCGTGTCCTGCTCTCGCCTCCCTGCCCAGCAGCATACAGGCCCGCCAGGGACACATTCCCACAGTGATCCCAGCAGGCAGGACACCCTGGGCTCCTGTGCCAGCTGAGCTCCATGCCGCCTGCCTCTCCCTGGGACACAGCATGGTCTCGCTGCTCTTCTGCTCTGCTCACTGAGAGTGCTCTGCTGATCCCACCTTAGCAGCTCAGCCCAGCTCACACACCAACGCTCGGCCCTGGGCCTGAGGCCACCCGGAGGTGTTCGAGCTGTTGCTGGAGCCAGCACCGTAGCCACCCAGCTGCTCTACCACAGAGGTCTCTGCCCCCATCAGGTGGCTGCTTCTAGAAGAAGTTCCCTCTTGGGACCCTCCTTCCTCCTGCCCCCAGGAGCCTCACATAGTGGGGACTGGCAGAAGATAGTGAGGCTTTATCCAGCCTCACTGTGACTCTAGCACAGGTTGCCACCTGCATGCTGCAGACAGCATGGGCACCCAGGCTGGCCTCTGTGGTCATCAGCTGCTCATCTCCAGTGGCAGTGAGATGAAGGCCAGGAAGGCAGGGCTGGGCCTTGCAGCACCCCAGAGTCTGTCGGGCATCTGGAGCCCAGGAGCACTGGGGCTTCCTGCATTCTGCCTGCCTGCCTCACTCTCACTGGTACAGTGAAGATACATGGGCAAGACATGCTTAAGGACACCCTATGGGGATGGGAGGAAGGGCAGAGGCCAGGGTGGGGAGTAGAGGAGAGAGGGGACTGCCTGTGATGGGACGCATTAAGATGTGAGTCCTTCCCTTGATGAAATCCAGGGAATAATGACCAGCAGCTGGGGCAGGGGGAGGGTTTGCGGCCAGACTGGCCCTCACTGACAGGTATGAGACTAAGTTCTTGGCTCCCTATGGGTGCCCAGCTCCTCTGTCCATAGGTTGGTAGGGGTAAGCACAGGATCTTTTTTTTAAAAAAAAAAAAATCTTTTTTAAAAAAATATTTATTTATTTGTGTGTGTGTGTGTGTGTGTGTGTGTGTGTGTGTGGCCAGCTCAGCCCACCAGGGGGCGGGGGCTGGCTGGCATGTGGTGCTGGGGGATTGAACAGTGGTCCCTGTGCTTTGCTTAGCTTAGCTTGTTCTAAGTAGATGCTTTAGACCACTGAGCCATCTCACCAGCCCCAAGCACAGGCTCTTTTGTGGCTGCCCTGAAATAGTGAACACAGTTCTCCCTCTGCTCTGCTTCCATTCTGGGCTTCACATTGTAAGGGTTGACGAGGCTCTGTGCCCACTTATCCCACAGGGCAGCTACTGTACTAATAGGGACAGGGGAACTGATGTGGGCTGTGCCCAGCAGGCATGAACAGAGCAGAGTCCCAGCATGGGACACTTACAGGGCCAGGCCTACAGGACTTGACAGTCAGTGGGAGAGCCCTCAGATACAGCCAGAGAATACATAGCCTCTGACATCAGCCATTTTTATTTTTAGTAGTGCTGGAGATGGACCCCAGGGTCTCAAGTACTCCATGAAAGCACTCCACCACCAGGGCACAGTGCCTGCCAAAAAGACCTCAGCCATTCCTCATGGGCACCTAAAGCAGTTTGTCTCCTACTTTGGTGAAAGAAGCTTTTCCGTCAGGTACAGTAACACATGCCTATAATCCCAGGCACTAGGCAAACTGAGGCAGGAGGATCACAATTTCAAGGCCAGCCTGGACAATTTAATGAGACCTTGTTACAACAGAAAAGGAGTAGGCTGGGGATGTAACTCAGTGGTAGGACCCTGGCCTAGCATGTGTGAGGCCCTGGGTTCAATCCCCAGGACCACCCCCACATTCCCCCAAAGCAACAGCTTTCCTGGAGGAAGACATTCATACTTTTTGCAACACTTTATCCAACACAACAGCCTTCAGATAAAGCTCTTATGGAGGAGTGAGGCTCCCTAGGTGTGCTGGGTATAGAAGGGCCAGGTGCACGCTGGAGTAGCCTGTGGCATCACAAGATGGGCTGGGGCTAGGGGAAGAGGATGGAACCATCCAGAAGAGAAGGCAGCAGCCACAGATAGTGGGAGAAGAGGGACAGGAGCTACTGCAGGCCAGTGAGCACGGGCAGGCTTGGGCATCCCTCAGGTGTGAGGATGGCCTGTCCCAGCATCCCCTCAGCCTGGTACCCACCTTGCTCCTCTCCCTTCCATAGGGCTGTCTCTGCCCTCACTCGATCCCTTCTCACTCACCAACCCTAAAGCCCAAAGGCAGGGGACTGGTAACTTGGATACCCTTGGCTAGTGCTGGCCCCTGGAAGGTGAGGCCTGTCCTCTGGCCAAGTCTGAGGCATTCACAGGAGTGAACAGGTGGAGGCTCTAAAGTGGGAGATGATTGAGGAACACCTTACCTTGTGGGTGCCGCTCGCACATACGCAGCGCTGATAGGCCTTCACCAGGTCCGAGCACAGTAGCACCTCGTGCGCATGGTCACGGTAGCAGCGAAGGATCTGGGCCTGTAGCCCTGAGCACACGGGCTCCACCCTGCGGGGTCTGCAAATGATAAGAACAGGCAGGCTGGCTCAGATGCCAGCATGGGCCCGGCCACTCCCCAGTGGGCAGGGAGGAAAGAGGACCAGGTTCTCTTGTCACCCCCATGCCAGATGCCAGCGGAGCCCCAGAGGTCTACCGGTGCCATGGAAGCCATCTGAACCTGTGTAGAACAGCACAGGGTGCAGCTCTGGGGGCACTGAGGCTCACACCAGGCAGGTATGAGGCACAGGGCTGTGGGCCCATGCCATGCTGCAGCCTGAGCACCTACAGAGGCCAGAGGGGGCCTGGCAGGCAGGGACCCTGCCAGCTACACCCAGGCCAGCCACCTCCTCGGGCTATAACCACATGATGTATAAGCTGCATGCATTTTCTCACAGAAGACTGTTTTCCTTATTTAAACTGAATAGATGTGAAACAAGATCATTGGAAACCTACAGAAACATGCAAAAAGAAAGAAAACATTTTCTGTCTTATATTTCTCAGAGATAATCATGGAAATATTTTGAGATACTTGACTAATTTTCTCTCTTTCCTTTATCAAAGTAGTCTCAGAACCAACAACAAATAAATATGCTTACTTTAAAAAAATTGCAAAACAAAAATCAATGACAGGAACCACAAAATGTGGTGCTGTCTCAGATCAGCTCCCCTCCTTCCAGATTCTTCTTCCACTTCTGTCTCCCTTCCCGCCGTTCTCCCTTGCATGTGCCACACACTCCCATGCTCTGTGCACACACTGACTCCCATGCACACAGCGCTCACAGGCTCACCCACCACTCAGCACCACAGCTCCACAGCACATGCTGCTCGTTAGCACCACTCCTGGCACACCAGGGCTCTGTGGCACAGGAAGTGAGGTCCTGCTGCTAGGAGGCAGGAGGATGTTTATTTCCATCATCTGGGTTACCCTGTTTCCCTGATCTACTTTCTGAGTAGGCCCTGGGTCCACATTCACAGAGGCTCACAACAGCCCAGGTGGGCTTGTGATACCCTGCTGCAGTCATTTAGAGTTTGACATCCTGGTGGAGGGTACTGAGGGAGGAGCAGAGATGCAGAGAGCCGTCTGTCAGGTTTCTTAGCAATCAAAGGATGGGTATCGAGCATGTTCTGTTGCAGACATGTGGAGGGAAGACATGTCAGTCCGCCAGGCTCCCACCCACACCTCCATGTTAACACGTGGCCGTGGAGGATGTCAATGCTGGCACAAAGCAGCACTATCATTATTTCACAATGAAGAACATATAACAGAATATTCAGCAGTTTTACGAACAAGACCCTGAACTGCACTGCAAGAGTACTTTAGCCTGGCAGTGGGGTATGTCTGCCAAGGCCAAGTCCTCAGGGCCCTTTCATCCCACACACTCTGGCTCTGAGGCTACTGTCCTACTCTATACCACAGAGCCTCTTTCAGAGGAGGGCTCGTGGGGGTTTTGTCTCTGAATCACCTCTGCCCTCACATGCAGGACAGATGGCCTTTGGACATAACCCTAGCTCTTGGTCCCTGGAGGCTCCCTTCACCGGTGTCCATCTGCCATTGCAGAGGTGTCTGCAGCAAGGCCACAGATGGGGTGCACGGGGTCACCCCGTATCCCTCTCTACATGTTGGTAGAATGGCTTACTTTCTGTATTTAAGAGTCTTCTGCCATGGTTGTATTCAAGCCTGGTCCTTTGAATCAACATGTGTCCTTAGGGCCAGAGCTTGTAACATCTGGCCTTGACAAGAACTTTCTGGGTTGCATGCTTTGGTCCTACTATACTCAGGCTATCCTTTGAGTCCCTGGAAATCGTAGGCTCCCATGCTAGGAAGGTGGAGGACTGCTCCTTTATCCTGCAGGGCTGATGCTGCAGGTCAGTGCAGCTGTGGTCACCAGTGTCCTATGCAGTTTCCTGTCACCTGCACAATCTTCTCTCCTCTTCCAGCTTCCTTATATGCTGTTTCTCTTGAGCATGTCTTTAAGTTCTAAATACTTTCCTGTTCTGCTGGGACACACTGCTCCTAAGAGCCCAGGTTTAACTTTCTGCAATGTAGCTCTGCAAGAAGTGGGATGCAGTGTTAGCATTGAATGCCCTGGAAGCATGGCCAGCAGGCACTCGGCAGACACTGGGGTGTGTGTGTGTGCGTGTGCGTGCGTGTGCGTGCGTGTGTGTGTGTGTGTGTGTGTGTGTGTGTGTGTGTAACTCTGAGGTTAGCCAAATCACAGCTTTCCTGAACTGTCACTGGTGTGAGGCCTCTGACCTGTGTGTTGAAGATGCCCCAGGCAAGCCAGCTGGAGGCATGGCAGCCCGGCCTGAGCCAGAGCTCTAACCCTAAGCCCTTCCCTCTCAGAGAGACACTGTACACTTATTCTGCAGTGATGTGATGAGCATGGGGAAGCAAATCCCCATCCCTGTCCCCTCCTTCTGTGGCTTCAGTTGCCCAGATGAGAGGCCTGTGCTTTTTGAGGGCAAACTGCCCAGAATACCAGTATAGTGGGCTCCTCCGTCAAGAGAAACCGGGCCACAGTGAAATCGATCCCCTGCACACCAGTATCACCTCTGGGCCCACAGAAGCCTCTCTCCTCTGGGATTTATCAGAAACAGTGTGAAGAGACAGAATGGTAGGCAAATGTCAACTGGAAGAAATTTCACCCACTTGTCCGTAAAGAAGCTCTGAATGAGATAAGATGGAAAGCAGTAGTCCTAAAACGAGCACTTTCTCTGAAGCAAGGCGGAGCTGGGCCAGGGTCAATCCACGAAAGGTTCAGGCTATCTGGCCAGCCCACCCAGCAGTTGGCCCCTGCACCCTTCTACCAGGCATACAAACCAGCTCTGATTTGCAATAACACACGGCCTGGAAACAACTGCTCTTCAAGCGCATAAAAAGGTTATTCATGGGGTGCCTAGACCTTCCGGGAACAGAATCATGCCCAGCTCCTACCCAAGACCTTTCACAGCATTGAAGATGCGCTTTGTGTGTATCTATGTGGCTCTGAAGGGGATCACATCACCTGATCAGTGTGCAGAGTGTCTGGTCTCTTAGGCTTCAGGGCAATGCAGCAAAGTCCTGTTTTTCCCAGCCCTATTTCCCACATTCACGCAGTGGGAATAGTGACCCCACCTGCCAGACCCTGTGCATGTACGGCAGTGAGTGTTGTGAAGTGCTGTTGTCACTAATGCTAGCTGCCAGTGGGACGCTGAGGCAAAGTTGGGGCTCAGGGTGGAGCGGAGTGTGCTTGCAGGAAGGTGGGTTAATGGCTGTGCTGGGTGGAGAAGCAATGAGACACAGATGCCTCAGGGAGATGCACTGCACATGCTGGGCTTGCACTGGGGGACCTGACCTCAAAGTGTACCTCGCCCTCTAAACTCAGTGCTGAGACCACTCAAGACTCACTCCAGACCTGGTCCAGGGAGCCGAAGCTCGGGCTACACAAACCAGACAAGGCTGGCAACACCCAACTCACAGGCTTGCTGAAGGGGTCAATGCTGGAACTGTGAGCCGCAGGAGAAGACAGAAACCAGGTCCCCAGCAGCAGCAGCCCACAGCGCAGAAGGAAATACACCCTCATACCCTGGGGAAGTGCCGCATCTGGCCTTCTTGTTGTACAAGCCTGTCCTCTTCACTCTGGCGGACACTCGCGTGGACAGGTATGTGGCATAGCCAGAATTGCTGCTGGAAGAAAGCACCCCTCTGAAGCCTGGGACAATTCTCTGCACACCACAAAGACCCCAGTGGTAGAGTCTCCTCAAAATTCATGTCCTTCCTGCATTCTCTCAATGTAGGCACAAGGTTACTAAAGCTGTGACTGGTGTCACTGAGGTCACAGTGGGGTAGTGTGGCCCAAAGAAATTCAGTTCAGGATGGAGGTAGAAACTGAGTAATGTTCTAACCAGCCAAGGATCACAGGGACTAGCAGCAGCACAGAAGTGTGGCAAGGGCCCTAGACTGAAGTCTTTATGAAGCCCTGGGAGTGGGGAGGCAGGCCCTGGGCCTACTCAGGCCTGAGTCTGGACTCAGGAAAAGCAGAAAACATGTTTCTGTTACTTGAAAGCATGCAAGGTATGACACTTGGTGACAGCTACCCAAGAAATCTACCCTGTCAGGCATGTGCAGTAGAGGTACGGCCTCAGGGCAGTGTGAGCAGCAGTGAGTGGGCAACAGATATACCCTGGTCCACTCTGTGATACAGAGTGACACCCTCTTGAATCATGGTGCAACAGTGCCTGCGTGATAGCCACTGTGCATCTGAGAGCCCCTCCTATGCACTAGGCACTTTGCCAACCAGTGCAGAGTTCTGATCCTGCCCCCATGAGGTCTTGTCTACACTGAGTGTAGACAATGGCTGTGCCTTGGCTTACCTGGTAACCAAGGGAAGGGGCCCTTCCTTGCTCCCCAGGAAGGTTTCTGTGTGGAGACAATAGGGGTGAGGACCAGGCTTTGGCAGGGGACATGACAAAGGGTACATTTCCACCTTGGTACGCAGCAGGTATACCAAGGACTTACACCTTCCCCTAAGAGTCCAACCATGTTCTGGATGTGCAGATGGCCCTGGCTCTGGCCCTTTCTGGGCTTCTGGAATATTCTGGCCCATTTGGAAGTGTGCAGGGCAGGCCTGAGGCCCTGGCCATTCTGGACCTAGGCAGAATCTATGATGCATTTAAAACCCATAGGGCATTCAGAAGCCATCCTGGCAGGCTAGTCACATGCTTGGTCCTAGGAATACCCACACCTACTGTGTGAGCTGTCAGTGGGGGCTAAACAAGGTTAGGTGGCTTGCCCAAAGCCATACAGAGGTAAGACAGAAGCAGGGTAAATGCTTGGTGTGTCAGGCTTCATGCTGTGTCCTTTTAGCTCTACTCTACCTTTAGAGAAGTCCACAGCATCTGACAAGAAGCTATAACCATGGATATGAAAAGGACAGAGCCCAAACCATGTGGAGGGCAGGACTTCACAGTAAGGGAGGCCAAAGACTGCCAGTCTGTCCTTGTGGGGCGGGAGGTCCTGGGCAAGAGTTTGGGCAGGA